CTTTCTTCCTTCCTTCCTTCCGTCCTTCCTTCCTTTTTCAGTTCTGTGCTATTTTTTAGTTTTGTTTAGTTTAGTTTAATGTATTTGGTTATTGTGGGGTCTCACTATGCAGCTAGGACTCATGGTAATATTCTTACTTGCAGCCTCCCCAGTGCTGGAATTACAGGCGTGCGCCACTATGCCTGGAATGGCTGGCTCAGCCTACCCTGGGGGTGGGGCTGGCATGGCATGGCATGCTGGTGATTGAATCATGATCTCTGCACTTGCCTAAACTTGCCTAAGCAGGTACTTTAATCTGCTGAGTTATCTTGGTGGCCCACCATGCTGTTTTTATCACAGTAGTTTTACAGTATAATTTCAATTCAGGTATCATGATGTCCCCCACCTTGCCTTTGTTGCCCAGAATTGCCTTTGCAATTCTAGATATCTTCTGGTCACAAATGAATTTTAATTCATTTGTAAATACACAGAATCTCTATTCTGTGAAAGATGCTGTTGGAATTTTGATAGGAACTGCATTTAATCTGTGTAACAGTTTTGAAAGTATGGTGGTTTTTACTATATTGGTTCTTCCTACCCAAGTGCAAGGGATAGCTTTCTGTTTTCTGCTAACTGCTTCAATCTCCTTTTTTGGAGTACTGTTGTTTTCAATGTAGAGGTCTTTTACAGCTTTTGTTAGGTTGATTCCTAGGTGTTTCTTTCTTTATTTTGGATAGTACTGTGAAAAGTGTTGTTTCCTTGATTACTCTCTCAGTGAGTTTTTATTCATGTACAGGAAGGCTATTGATTTTTGAGTGCTTACTTTGTATACAGCTATGCTGCTAAATCTGCTTATTAAATCTAGCAGTTTTTTAGTGGAGTTTTTGGGGTCTTCTATGTAAAGTACCATGTCATCTCAAATAGTGATAATTTAACTTTTTCCTTTCCTATCATTATTCCTTTTATCTTTTTTTTTCTCTTGTCCAATTGTTCTGTCTAAAATTTCCAGGACTATGTTGAATAAGGGTGGAGACAGTGGATGTTCTTGTCTTGTTACAAAATGAGTGAAAGCTTTTGGTTTTTGTCCATTTAGTATGATGTTGGCTGTTGGTTTGTCACAGATACCTTTTATCAGATTGAGATAAAGACCATCTATTCCAATTTTCTGTAGGGTTTTTATCAAGAATAGGTATTGAACTTTGTCAAAAGCTTTTTCTGAGGGCTGGCAAGATAGCTCAGCAGATTGAAATGCCTGCTTAGGCAGATGCAGGGACCTGGGTTCATGGTTTGATGCCCAGCATGCCTGGCCGGCCCTGCCCCCAGGGCACACTGAGCCATTGATTGAGACTGGGTGTGGTGGCACATGTCTGTGATCCCAGCGCTTGGGGGGCTGAAAACAGGAGGATCACTACAAGTCTGAGTTGTGTAGTGAGGCCCTGCACTAAATACATTAAAAAAACTTTTTCTGCATCCATTGAGATGATTATATGACCTTTTGTCCTTGTCTCTGTTCATATGATTTATTATATTTATTGATTTATGCATGTTGAACCACCTCTGCATCTCTGGGATGAATCCCACCTGATCATGGTGTATACTCTTCATTATGATATGCTGCATTCTGCTGAGGATTTTTTGCATATATGTTTATTAGGGAGACTGGCTTATAATTATCTTTCTTAGTTGGGCCCTTGTGTGGTTTTGCTATCAGGGTAATGCTTCCTGGAATGAATTTAGGAGTACTTCTTCCCTTTCAGTTTCATTAAAGAGTTTGAGAAGCAGTGGTGTTAGGTCTCCTCTAAATTTCTTGTAGAATTCAGCAGTTAATCTGTTAGGGCTGGGTAGGTTTTTGATTACATATTGGATTTCATTGATTGATATTCATTTATTCAGGATTTTTATATCTTTTTTTATTCAGTTTTGGTAAGTCATATGTATGTAGGAATCTGTCCATTTCTTCTGCATTTTCTATCTTATTAGAATGCAAGTTTCTAAAGTCGGTATAGGTGATCTTCTGAATTTCTACAGGCTTTGTTGTAATTTTACCCTTTTCCTTCCTAACTGCGTGGATTTGCGTCATGTCTCCTAATTCTTTGAAGTGGCTGAATGGCTTTCAGAAAAAAAAAAAAAATCTCAGTTTTTCTCTTCCAGAGGAATTAAAAAGGGAGGGGGATGTCTCTGATACACAGAATATGAAGTCAAAGGAAAATGCAGTCTCTATCTTAGCCAGGTAACTAAAAATGATCCAAGAGTTAGTTCTACGTATAACTGCATTCACTTTAATACGAAACGATCTTAGCAGTTATAATTGAGAATAGCCTTAGGGAAGAGGTATTACACTGCTAAAGAAAATGTATATACAAAGGTGTTCTTTGCAACAGCCTTCCCCCTCGACCTGAATATCTTCATTTTGCTAAAAACTGAAATACAAATTTTTACTTTGAAAAATAAAGAGACAGACAGACAAGTGACTGTCTCATAGTAAAGCATAGGCCGCTCTCTGCACCAGTGAGGATGAACAGGGACCTTTTCAAATGGTCACTATCAAGAGGCATAAGGAGGCTACTTTCTAGTTAACAGAACATACTATTACTCAACAAAGGTCTCCAGCCCCGAGTCCCCAGATACAAATCTTTTTTCTCTCTTGGGGATCTCCCTAGCTTCAGAAGCCTGTACCTGTATATAAATGTTTATAATCATTTAAGTGTGTAGGTGTTTGAAATATTCTTTAAATACTTCCTTTGATCAGAGCTCAGGCCAAACTTTCATCCTTCGTTTTTTTTTTTCATTTATGCTATTAGAAGGATTAAGATAAAAAGTCTTCTCATTACTCAGAAGAGAAAGAAGTCACTTCAGACATCATCATATTCATTTTGATCTTTTAGTATCAATATATTTTTTTTGTATTTCATTAACTTTTACTTGGTGCAACTGTTACTTTGCATGAAGAATTGGCAGTCACCAGATGAAGAAGAAAAATGTTCTCACATTTCAGAGGATTATAGAGTAAATGCTAGCACTCTTTACTGAACAATAAAGCAACATTATTTTGTTTCTTCAAAAGGAAGTCTGAAAGTGATCTAGTTCCCATGAATGGGTGTCTCTTGGTGCCCCTTCTGACTGGAGTCATGTCCCTGGCTTTGGTTTGGACCAGTTATCAGATATCTGCCAGACTCTAGTTTCATCTCATGATATAGGGATTAAAATTGTGGAATTTAGAGCCAAAACCAACACAAACTGCAACTTGACTTGTGATTCCTGTAGCCACAGTCAGCGTCTCTTGAGGCAGAGCTGCACAGCTGACTATCAGGTTTCTCTTTTCAGGTAGCTAAACATAAAGGAGAGGATGCTAGAGCCTGAAGCTTTTCAGAGTAACAAAGCCCTACATACCTGGAACTAACTTACCTGTTCATTAGCAAATGCCTGGGCCCGAAAGCATTATCCAGCAAGGTCAGGCATAAGATATACTTTAATCTCCATGGTGAATTTTAAATTCTAGAGTATAATGCTATTTCTAATGAGTCCAGGCTATCTCAGGAATAGATCAGAGAAGCAAGGGGTGGATAATGCCAAGGTATTAGCGGTGGAAGGCCAGCACTTGAAGACTGGGTCAGTCTTTTGCATGTAAGATGCATTCACTCATCCTTGTTAGCTGGGTGAATCCAGAAGCTCTTTCTCTTTCAAATCTTTATAGGAGTGTCACTTTCCAAGGGACCACAGAATTTTAATATCCTCTGCCAGCAGGGAGGTAGATAGGGAAAGGACAAAAAGCAGGGAAGGGGATAGATGTCTTCTCTATGGAATGTCAATAAACTTTACAATTTTTAATCTTGGGTTTTCCCAAAGTACTTTTGTAGAACTGAAAAGTACATAGATCAAAAGCTCCACAAGAGTGAAGGAGCATTAATCTGAATCTTTTATAACAAGTTCCCCAGGTTAGGAGCTTGGATGACATCTCCAGGAGTTATGGGTGGTCAGGGGGACAGATTTGGTGACTAGAGGAATCAAGCACATGTTTGCTAAGGCATGGGTGCCATGACAACAGACTCTAGAGTACTGCTGGGAGAAGCCTATCTGTGTGCTCTTGTTTGGATGGAATATGGGCAGAGCTTGACCTGGTTTGGGATGGACAGGGCCACTGACCTCTTTCTCATAGCGCTGCTCAGGAATAGTTGGGAGGATTTCCAGCAGAACTGATTCCTTCCTTCCTTCCTTCCTTCCTTCCTTCCTTCCTTCCTTCCTTCCTTCCTTCCTCCTTCCCTCCCTCCCTCCCTCCCTCCCT